ACCTAACTCAGACGCAAAGTAAATGAAGAGTCCGTTAAACTCTCACATCTACTTTTGTCAGTAATATATGGTACTAGTTTCAAATTTTCTTCTATAGCGAGTCCCCTTGCGAAACCTAATCTAACCTAACCTAATCCAAATGAAGAGGGGTCAGTGTAAGTTAGGTCGAAAAGCAGTATTAAGCTTAGTTGCTTCGTGATTTGTTACATAGAATGAAGAGACGATGAAAGATTGAAAAATCAGTCGCGATCAGCGAAGCGATCCAACAGGGTTCTCGATACCGGGACCGCGGTTAATCGCGTTAAAACGCTGAAACAACGATAAAACGAGGATCCACGAGGCGGAGGCGTGGACACACAGCCCAGGACACGTAAAATCCGGCCGTTCCTGTGGAAAGGTCGTCACGCCTGCGCCAACAATTTCGTTCGAAACTCAATGAAACGCCACGCTCTAATACCAGCCACGCCGAAGAAAAAGTGCCCAACCTCCCTTCTCCACCTCCCATTCAAATTAATTCCTCGTGAAATAATTTGCCTAATACACAGAGAATAAAAGACCTTGATGACCTGTATTTTCGTTCGGAAAGAAAAAAAGACGTTGGTTTTTATGACGGCTGGAAAATGAGAGGAAATTATATTTTCCAAACACGGTGCTTGTTCGGTACAAACTGAAAAAAATTAATGGCTGCCTCTAAGACAATTCACCAGGTTGTTGAACGCGATCTTATGGAAGATATAGTGATTTCTGAGTGACACTTTTGGTACAATGATTTCTAAATGAATTTTAGTATTTATTGATTCTGTTTGACGAATTTAATGACACAAACTCGTAAATAAACTTCGGTGACTCTGATCCCATAAATATAAGAGAAGATATAGTAATTTCTGAATGAACTATAATAGAAGTTTTATTTTCATCGTTTTATTTTAGGAAATGACAACATTTTTGTTCTGGCTGCGTCACGGGTTGCCAGGAGCAAGGATAATGAGAAAATAATTGGTTCCCAGAGTTTGTATATGGAAGAGAATTGCTTTCCAGAGTGTTCGCTCGACCTCGATTTGTATCTGACCCAAAATCCAGTTCCGCGTGATTTCGAAAACACTTTGTTGAAATATGTGAATATTCATATTTCGATACAAATAATTATCCTGAAATTCACTAGTATCTACTCGTAATCTATGGAAGAGGAATTTTGTAAAATTCCCTCATTAGCATTCTATTCTTAACTTCATAGTTTAATATTCACTGATTAAAAAAAGAGCAAAGTTCGAGGTTGTAATACCCTTTATTAATACGTTTGTACTCAGTGACGCACGCATATGCGTCACGCGTATGTTCCACTGTGCGTCTAACGACGTATAGTGTCTTCTACTGTGTGTTTCAAGGCACACGTCTATGTCTCACGAGTATATTCCACTGTGCGTCTGACGACGTATAGTGTCTTCTACTGTCTGTTTCAAGGCACACGCCTATGCCTTACTAGTATACTCCACTGTGCGTCTGACGACGTATAGTGTCTTCTACTGTGTGTTTCAAGGCACACGCTTATGCTTTACGAGTATATCCAACTGTGTGTCTGATAACAAACGAGTATTTTCCACTATGGTTCTAAAGATGTACGAGTATATTCCACCGTGCATCTGTGTACCCATACGTAAGCGTTATGAGCATATTCTCTTGTATATCTAACGATAAACGAGTATTTTCTACTGTATACTGTGATAACAAATGGTTATATTTTACTATGCATCAGTAGTCGTGCTTTCAAAAGAATTTGCTACTAGAAGAAAAATCTTCCAAATACAGAGCTTTGCTTCTGCACACATCATCAATAGCATAAATAAATCTATTCTCGCATTCATACGCGAATTTCCCAAACCTAACCTCCAAATTCCACTCCAAAATAATTCCACAGAAAACAAAATAGATCTGTCACAAGAAGCAAGAACCTAGGACCTTAGACGATTAACCTTACCAATGAATGCAGAATTCGTGAAAGGGACACGGTTGCAATCAGAGAAGCGAAACATTAACGTGAGGTCCCCTAGCGCCATTACAGGCATTCTTCCTGCAGCTTGGAAGCGCAGCCACCATTAACACCACCGTTACCACCATCAGCACCTCCGTCACGGGTAACATTACTACGTGCAGACGGGTACGAGCCATTGCACCTCCTCGCCAGAGGCGAGAGACGACGAGATTTTATAGTGGAGGGGGTTGTCGAACCCTGTAGGAGTTGCTCGATGGAGAAAGAACGGAGGAGAAGCCAGATAGAGGGACAAGGAGCCACGTGAGAGATAAATACGTGGAGAAACAGGATGAAGACAGTGAGAATTAGGGTTGGTTAGGTGGAGAAATCGGAGATTAGAGCTGGCTGGACGAAGGAAATGGAAAATTATGAGCGGAACCAAGGTAGAAAGAGCCAAGATTCTGCACATGATAAGATGATGAAAAGAAGTTGTAGCAAAGGGTATGAATGAACATATGGCAATATGTTTTTTTATAAATGATCTTTTATTCTCAACTTTTACAGAAATTAAATGAAGGAAGGACCTGACTTACAAATTTATCAACCAAATTTTTAAAAGCTATAAAGATACCAGCATTACCTTAATTGTGTTCCATTTTACAGATTACCATAGCAAAGATTACTATACCAAAACCAGTATATCGTTATAACAAAATTTTTCGGCTTTAGACTAAGATCCTAAAATAAGGACCTGCCTAACTTGTGACATTATAAATTCCCCTAATTAAACAAGCAGATTACAAATAACACCAGAGACAAAGGATCCACGACAACATTCAAATAATAACGTTTGTGTGTCGTTAAGTTGGCAGACAGAGGAACTAGGATTGGACCATTTCTCTGTAAAGTCAAACAGCGCTGCAACTAATCAGCAGTTGAAGGAATAAGCAACTTACAGCCAGAGAAGAGGCAGGATTTGCGGTGAGGAAAGTTGGAAAGAATAGCAATGCAGACAGAGAAAAGCGTTTATGGCTTACATAAAGGAAGAAGCACACAGGGGATCGGGAACTGTACAACCGTTCTGTGTGCGTGTCTGGTGGATAAAACGAATTGTTGGGAATGGTAGAAAGATGTCAAGAGACGCGGCGAGTTGGATGCAATTAGAGAAGAACGGGCTGCATCGCGAAATAAAAGCCGGATAAATGAATATCCTCGAAGCAGGGTAAAATGGGTCGAAGTAAAAATAATGGGAAGATCAATGACGAGGATCTGTTCTCTGAGGCGAGTATGAAAGATGGAAGAAGGAACATGGTTGTAAATCGTGAGAAATGAAGAGGAGGAGAAAGGACCAAACACAAAGGAGTATTGATAGTTCTGGATGATGAAGAAGAGCTGATAGAGTCTAGGTTGGATCAGGCGAGCTGCAAGACGAAAGGAGATGCTGGTGAGAAACAGGTTCTCAGATTAGCAAGAAATCTGTTCTGCACGAGATTCTCCAAGATTCTGTTCAATTTTGCATCACATAGTACAAGGAATCCTTTCGTAATATTGTGAAAAAGAATTAGTCTTTGGTCACATTAGATACGTGTTCTTAGTAGTCGAAGGTGATTAGAATCTCACAACGATCCCAATATATGTTTCTTGATATCCCTCGATAACTGTTCGATAATTATTCCCATTTTGCCCTGCAAGAAACATTACCCTTCAACCCTTAATATATTACACTAAATCTTAATCCTTCTTAATTCCTGTTCGATCTCACAAACTCCTCAATGCACTCATCAATAGCCTTGTAATAAATGAAAAAGCAAACGAACCTAACAAAATCTCAAAGAAACCAAGTGGAACCTAACCTAAAAACCAGATACACCACATCGAAGAAACTCAACAATCAGCGACAACAAAAAAGTCGCGGTAAGAAGAAGCACATCCCGATTCAAAGAAAAACCTGCACAGAAGGAGAGAGAGAGAGAGAGAAGGAGAGAGAGAGCATAGCAGAAATCAAACGGCACAGAGAGGTGCACAGAGCTGGCAGAACGCGTAGACGTAGCCAGAGAAACCCGGCAGCCGGTGGAGCGAGACAGCTATAACGTATAGACAGAGATAAAACGAGTGGAACAAACGAGGGGCGGCAGCGTAACCGAGAATCACCGCGAGAGACAGAGTAAGTTAAGACAGGGGTGGGAGGTTTGGTCGAGGATGGTGGTGGGCTACGGTGACGTCACATCGGGTCGATACTCACCCACACTCCATTTCCCGGTGTCGTGGTGACCATGGGGGCGCAGGCGCGGCCTCGTACGCTCCTGAGCGCTCCTTCCCGCCA